TTAAGCACATCGGTACAAAGCCCACAAATATCACAACCTATGAAATCACAAGCTAAGGTTGCACAAACAATTTTGACAACTTTCACACACTCTCACACCCACTCTCACAACCAACCTTTAAACAGAAATATTCTCAATGACTACAATTCAGAAAGGCCTTGAATTTCTCAATATTTCTGAAAAACAAGTGAACCTTTGGCTTCATTGTCTACTGAGTTTAGCTAGATCGTTCTAAGGTCAGTACAAACATTGACAAAGGGATGTTAAATATATTTAAGAGAAAGAGCAGTAGTTGAATTATTCATGGCAGGTAAGATTTCTGCCAAGAGAACCTCAACCCTGTTATCTATTTGCAGATTATCCACAAACTAGCTTTGAGTTTTACAAATCTAGTTCATTATTCTTCAACAAACAGTTTATGCAAACACATTTCAGCCTGTGAGATGTTTGTGAGTTCTTCATTTCTGCTCTGAGTTATTTGTGGTGTGCAACTGATCACAAGGTGGGATCTCTGCTCCCTGACTAAATAAGTGACATGTTCTGTAGGAGGACAGAATGAAGCACACCGCTGTGTGGAGGACACAAGGGCTGCCTGGGTGGGGCTTGGACCTAGTCTCCTCACAAGAGTTGCACCAGTAGAATTCACCTGTCCGAACACAGTCTTGTGCGTCCCTCTGTTATTCTCTATAGTTATTCCCTTTGGCAAAGTGGCACAGGTCCCTAGTGGTGGAATGATGCTGATGCAGTAACACCATGGCTACACACTAACACTGATACAACTTTACTGGTAAAGAAGTCCTCCCACTCCAATCTTCCCTCCAGCAGTGACCTAACTGCTTTCTGAACTCCACTGCCTAGGGGTCAGCGTGACTGGAATGCGTCCAGCAGTTAAAGGGCTTGGACAGGCTTTACTAACGCCACTGCAGGGTGTATCTGTTCTGGACTCTTGCTGGCTCACTACACACAGCTGAATTTCACCCACTGAGAACAGCTGATACCCAAACTGTCACGCAGATACTCACCCATTTCTGCAGGCCTGAGAACACTGAAGACGAAGGGAGATGCATGTGGCTGAAGGGAATGGCTGCTCCCAGACTGAATGCATGTTTGTAAAGGTTTTTTGTAGCATTTGACCAACTCCACCGCAGCCACTAGTCACATAGTGTTGGATACAGTAGTACCGGGTGTGCTTGGGCCTCATTTAGGATAAAACATAAGTACTAAATATAGCCCCAGCCCTCAACACTCTCACACACACCCCTCCTCCCTACCACCGGCCCCTGTACCGGTAAGTTTTCGGCTTTACTTTCACCCCTGACCCCAGCTCCCACAGCATGGAAAGCCAAGGGCCTGAGCAGGCCGGGTGCTGCCCACCAGCTTCCAATCCACCGGCTCCTGGCAGGAGGCAATGGTTTTCAAACTGTGGGGAGCGTGTGTGGGCATCCCACATTTTGAAAATCTCTGTGCTAAATGGAAGGCAGAAAGCTGTGGTGGTGGGCGGAACATGACCCTATGGGCCCACCCATGCATTGCCTTTAGGGGGCGCAAATATGCTTGTTTGCCCCAGGCGCTGAAAGGCTGAGTGACGGCTCTGCATGGCCGTGCTGCCGTTAGGGACCTGCAGAACTGCTGTGCTGTGTCATGGTGGAGGGAGCCAAGCAGGGCTGGCTCTATGCACCAGCAAAGCAAGCAGGTGCTTGGGGCGGTACATTTGCAGGGGCTGCATTCGGGCCATCCTTTTTTTGTGGGGGGCGGGAGGGCCAGCCCTGCGGGCGCTCACCCAAGTAGACGCTGTCCCAGCCCCCAAGCTGACGCCGAAGTCCAGGTGGAAGAGCCGCAGCGAGTAGCCAAAGCTGGCCCTGGGACTGGGGTCCAGCAGCAGCAGCGCGTCGTGCGCGGGGGGCGCCCTGGGGCCGCTGTGGTTCGTGCCGCCAGCCACGGCCGAGCCATCCGGTGGGCTCCGACATGTGGCTCACAGGACACTTGGGCTGGGGGCTGCCCCGCGGGGCGCACGGAGCCGCCTGCAAGTACCGCAGGGCAGCTGCTCCCCAGCGCCGCAGCTAGGGCTGGGCGAAGTGGCTCGAGCCGCCCAGGGGCTGCAGCAGGGCGGTCAGGAGCAGCAACGAGGCCATAGAGGGGACCGGTGCCCGAGGCGCTGCCGTGCAGGGCCCACGTCCTGCTCTCCAGGGGTCCATTCCCCTCTGAGGCTGCCCTGCCCCGGCTGCTCAGCCCCCTGCCAAGGCGGTCCCCGCAGCTCTGCCCTCCCAATTCCCAGCCAGTCCTAGAGGCGGGAGTCCCGGCTGGAGGCAGGGCCGGCTTTAGGAAGTGCGGGGCCCGATTCGACGGGGCCCCGGCAGGGATGACTCACCCGGCAGCGCTCTGGGTCTTCGCTCCGGGTCTTCCGCAGCACTGAAGGACCCGCCGCCCAAGACCCGGTAGGGAACCGCCCAGTGAGTACATCCCCCCTCATCCTAGTGGGGCAAGTCTGCTTGTACTCTCACAAACCCATGCCAAGCAAGGCATGCTCGGGCCCTAAGGCAGAGGGCCTGAAACTGTGGGGCATGCCCCCCTAGGAGGCATGGAGGAATGTTCGGAGGGGCCCGGCTCCGTGGGGGTGGGGAGCGTGACCCTGAAAAGTTTGGGGACCACTGCCCTAAGGGTATGTCTACCCTGCAATAAAAGACCGGCAGCACTGCTATGGCTACCCCAGGCCCGCTGGCTCAGGCTTGCAGGGCTATAAAATTGCATTGTAGATGTTCGGGCTTGGGCTGGAGACTGGATTCTGGGGCCCTCCCTGGTCCTGAGGTTCCAGAACCCAGCCCAGCCCTGTGAGCTGAGTCAGCTGACCTGGGCTCTGAGCCCCAGTGTTACGGGTTTTTTATCTCCGTGTAGACATAGCCTAGGTGTTGGGACCAGCACACTGGCAGTGTCTGGTGAATGTCCAAGCCATGTGCGATCAGCAAGGGTTTGCAGTCTTGTTCGGGGTGGGTTTGGGTCTAGGTGAGACGGGCATTCGTGGCTCCTGATGTCAGGGTGAGCAGGCTGGGGGTCTTAGGCACAAGAAGTAGCTGTTGGGTGGTGCAGGGGCCTGTCTGCAGGGGCATTGCACGTATGGACGTATCCTGCTTTTTGTTATTTGATCAATAGCTTGTGTATATGCTATGGGAAGGTCAAGGGTCACAAATACAATACCATTCCGGGGGCAATAAACAACACACTTTCTGGCTTTTCTGTGTGCAAGTCTTAGGTCAGGCTAGGCTGTCCCAAAGAGCGTTGGCAGAGCAGACAAAATTCTCTGAGAGAAGGGGCACTTGGGGGTACTGGACGTGTCTCCAGGACTGGCTCCAGCCACCAGCGAAGGAAGCAGGCACTTGGGATGGCCCATGGAAAGGGGCAGCAGTGCATCCCTTGTCAGGGCGGCACGTCCGCATCGGCGTCGGCAGCTCGATCGGGTTCTTCTTTTTTTTTTTTAATCGCCGCTTGGGGCGGCAACGAAGCTGGAGCCGGCCCTGCGTGTCCCTCAGGGCTAACACCCAGCACATGACTATGAAACTAGCTCTTGGATATAGCCACATGGGGGCTGGCTGGCTGCTGGGTCCCACGCTGCACAGGGCCTCTGTGAGCCCTAAACACACTCTGTACCTCCTGCTCAATGAAAAGCGGTAGAATAGGTGTGTTGGGTGGGAGGGGAGCTGTTAACTTCTGTGCAGGAGGCTTGGCGGCAAGGCCGAGAGGGACTGTGTCTTGTGGTAAAACCCCAGTACATGATGAGGTTGCTTGTGAGGTGAAGCTCCAATCCCCTCCAGACCCAGAGAGAATCTCTGTGCAGAGCTCATTTACTGGAGCTCTGTGCAGGCATCTGGGTTGGGCCTCTGTATCCTTAGGGTATTTTACTAATTGCCCGTGATCTGAGCCACGGCGTCCAGCTGCCCACCCCTCATGGGTCTGTGGAGGGATCGCCAGCAGTGCTGAATGGCACGTTGGGGTCAGTGACGGGGACTGATGGCTCCAGGGGAAGGGGTGGATTGAGACCTCCAGCCTCACTCTCAAAAGAAGCATCTTGCTTCTTTGGTGGGTCTGTGACGTTCAACCCTCCTGTTGTGCCCACGTGTCTGATCCTTTGTCCTCCCAGACACACCCGTACATCCCTGGCTGACTTGGTGGTGCAGGTGCTGGGACATGCCGCCCCATGTGCTCATCTGCCAGCTTGCTGTGTACTTCATGGAGGATGCCCTGCAGTGGACCCCATCCCAGGCTCATGGTGCGCTCTGCTCCCCTAAATGAGGTGCTCTAGATGGGCACTTCTCCGGCCTGGGCCTAACCCTGCTGCCCCGGTGGGTTCCTGCTATGCAGCTCAGATCAAGGGGGGTGTAATCCCACCGTGGTTGTGGAGTGTCACTGAATACCGAATGGGTTAATACTACGCTTCACTCCGGATCTAGCAGTGGGGGTTGGGGCAGGCACTTGCACAGCGTGTGTGCTCCCATTCTTGGAGACCTCTGCCATTAGTCAAAGAGCACTAACGAGACAGACTGCGGTGCTAATTGGAGTGAGCTGAACACGGCAGCTCTGAAGTTGGTCCAATAAAAGATATTATTTCATGGGCCTTGTCTTGGGGGCCAGCCTAGCAAGAACAGCACCCCGTCATGTATCTGCAGCTTACACCAATGGACAGCATCACTGTAGGAGCTCCACCGCCCTGAGTGATGGCAGCTGGGCTGGGGAAGAATGCTCGCTACATCCACACTGGGGTTACCTCGGCAAAGCTACGGCACTGGGGGATGTGGATTTTTCAGACCCCTGAGCACCGCGGCTATGGCGACTAGGGTGACCAGATAGCAAGGGTGAAAAATCAGGACAGGGGGTGGGGGGTAATAGGCACCTATATAAGAAAAAGCTTCAAATATCGGGACTGTCCCTATAAAATCGGGACATCTGGTCACCCTAATGGCGACCTACATTTTAAGTGTAGATCAGGCCTCAGCGTTGCGTAGCTCCAAAGCAAGCCAGCTGGAAAACAGGATGTCCATCTGAACTAGCCTAAATACAATGCAGTACTTTAAAACGTTGTGCTCGAGGGTGTAAAAGTATGCCCAAGAGCAGAACAAAGTAAACACATCCGTCCTCCTCCTCCTGACCCCAGGCTTTACGACACGGGTCATCAAAACACAAAAGAAGGGTGACTCTGGCAATTAGCAACCAGTAAATTATTAACTAGCTTCAGTTCCCAGTGAAGAAATGGAATAAATAGGAAGGGGAAATCTGCTAATGCCCTGGAGAATAGTGGAACTGTAAACAAAGAAGCAGCCCTGGTTCCTAAAGAATGAAGCTTGCCAAACAAAGAGCGAGACATTTACAAATGTAGCAGATGAAGGCTGTGTAGCCAATGTAATATATTTGGCTTTTAGTAGAGGGCATGACATAGCGTCTCATGTTCAGTGAGAGCCCTGAGGTCTACGTGCACACATGGACAGTGTTACATGGACTGAAAATTGGCTGAAGGATGACAAGCAAAGAGTAATGCTGGGTGAAACCCTGGCCCTGCTGGGAGTTTTGGATTTCACCCAGTGTGTTGAAATGGTTAGTGGCCTTTTGTTATTTAATACCCCACTCAGTCAGGGCTTAACTTTAGCCAGAGCTGGCCAGAGCAGAGCTTCGGGAAATATTTTCAAACCAACGGGGCAGAAGCCCTGAGACCCAGTGCCCCCCGCAGGGCAGAAACCCTGGGGCTCTGGGAAATACTCTGGGAGAATGTAAACCCTGCACGCGGTTGTCTGGAAAGGTGGCAAAGGCATATTAATGGACTGTATGGCATATACTGAACTGGGCAGTGTTTCAAGCTGCAGTCCAGACAGTGAAATAACACCTAGGGCCCAAAGAAAATTAGAAATATGGGCAGAAAAGCAGAGGGTCACATTAATGCGGTACAGTAGGGGGAAATAATCCGACAGGCCACTTTTCAAAGGGATGGGGAACGTTGCCAAGGAGTACAGCTGGGAGACCCCAAGCAAATGGGACGTGCTTTTACAATGCAATGAAACAGCTAAAGCTGCCCCATCTAGGTGTGGGCTGCAAGCACATGGCCAGACCCTCACTGAAGAGGGGATATCAGGCCTAGTGCATGGCCGCTGAACCTGGACTATTGTATTCAGATCCCAATTCAGCAGCCTGTCTTCAGTGGGACTGGTCACATACTAACATACCTGGCCTCACAGGAGCACTCATATCCAGGGACCGTGTTGGTGGAGCACCTAGCAGAGTGGGGCTGGGGAGAGCCTGGGAGCCCTGCTCTGTTAACCCCAGTGCTGCAGGAGGGTGCTGCATGTGGGTTTATGAGAGCACACCGCCTTACATGGCTAGCAGCCAACCAGCCCTGCAGGGAAAGGGGTCCCTGCTACTCTGTCCCTGGCAGGCAGGGATGCCCTGGGATTGGTTGCCCATTGGGACACCCTGTCTCTGGAGGGATGGCTTCCCGTAGTGCAGCATTTGAACCCAGCTCAACTGCAAGAGCCCCCTGCTGGTGGCTGCAGCTGGGGTTAACAGGTGATTCCATTTCTGGGGGAAGCCGCCTTCCGCCCTTCTGGGCACTGGGGGAGGAAAAAGAAGGGAAGAGAGCGAGGGTCAGGGAGCAGGGCCCCCCAGAGGATTCAGGGGGCCTGGGGCAAAGCGGGGGAGCTGCGGCGCTTGTACTCACCCGGCGGCGGTCCGGGTCTTTGGCGGTATTTCGGCGTCGGGGGGCCCTTCAGTCGCTCTGCATCTTGGGCAGCACTGAAGGACCCCCCGCCGCCAAAATGCCGCCGAAGACCTGGATTGCCGCCAGGCCAGGGCTCGTGGGGCCCCTGCGGCAAATTGCCCCACTTGCCCCCCCGGGCGGCCCAGTCAGGGAGAGCTGTTCTCCAGGCCAGACTGGCGTGTGTAGCACCTGCCAAGGGGCCTGATCCTGGCTGGGCTGCTGGGCACTACCAGCGTAGCCATTAGAGCTGCTCCAAAAGCTGCTTTTTGCTGTGGCAATGTTTGAGTTTTGGGCTGAAAGCGTTCAATGAAAACCCTCCTGGTGTGTGGAAAGCGGACACGGCGTGTGACAAACTGGGGCCTGTCAAAAACTCAACTTTCTAGCAAACCAGTTTTGTTCAAAAAACTTCACCTGGCCCCAATATCACCAGCGATCAGTGCTATCTGTGCACAGAGCATGATGGCACAGAGGGGGCTTCCCCAACCAACTGCACTCCTCGCTGCATGGACCCGCCCCCCTCCTGTTCTGCCCTCTGTGACCCCTTTACCCTCATGGGCCTGGACCCAGCGCACAGGCAGACAACAAACCAGGCAACTGATCAAACAAGAGAGACGCACAGGGCCTGTGCGTAAGCAGCCTGAACCCCGTCCCTGGGGTGTCGGGATGAGCCAGGTCTCCCTAAGCAGTAGGTAACACAGGCCTGTGTGTAGGCTGCTTGTGTTGAGAGCCCTCTGCCCTAGATGACGTTGCGCAGGACTTTCTTTGGAAAGGCTGTTTGATGTCGCTATATTCTCGCCCTGGTCTCAGCTCCCAAAGTGCAGACTAGCAGGGCTCAAACCCCGTCAGACCTACTGTGAGCCCTCCCGGCTGGCACACAGAGTGCTGCATCTGACAGTGGGAGAATCACAGGAGTCCACCCGGGACCAGGAGAAGGCAGAGGCCTGAGCCCTGAGCGATGCTCTAAGAGAGACCCAGCACAGAACCTCAGCCATGGAGCGGCGTCCAGCTGAGTAATCCCACGTGGCTGAGCTAGCGCAGAGCTGGTGCAGGAGCGTGGTGGAAATGGTAGGCTGTAACAGGGAGGTCTGTCCCTTTAAGGAGAGGTGGAGCCTTAGGCCAGCCAACCTCTGCTCCAGGGCCTGGCCCTTGCCCTTTTACAGGAGGAGGGAAGGAGCTGGGGAAGCCTGCCTGGATCCCAGCCGAGCCCCTAGGAGGAGGCTGGAGCCCCCTGTACCATGGGGCTGCAGCATGGGCGTCCAACCAAAGCAGGCTGTGTGGAATGGGGGGACTGGTGGGTTGTGAACGAGCTCGAATCCCAGCACAGCCCCAGGACGCAGGGCTGTGGAAACCCTCAGCCAAGGAGGAGGAGTTGAGAGCCCAGGACCCAGAGCAGGAGAGGAGTGCGGGAAAGGCTCCCCAGATAGGCCTGCGGTGGGGCTGCAGAGCTGCTGAAGCCTGGCAACCTGAAGCCTTGGAACAAGAGTGAATAAGAGGGAGCTGCCTGGTGCCCCCACTTCTGACCAGGTCTCCCCCATCTCTCCACCCTCCCTGCCCTTGTCACACATCCCACAGTAGAGCTCTCCCTGCTCTGTCTTTCACTCCCACTCCCGCCTCTGCCCAGAGCCCTCTTTCATGCACACACAGCCCCCTGCACACCAGCCACCAGCCTTATCTCAGTCGAACTGGCTGGAGCTGGGCAGGACACTGCTTTCCCAGCTCAAGAAACTTGGCATGGTTTCAAACATTTTCCCATTCTGCATCAAGAGACAGACAGACAAAATAGAGAGCCTCCTTCCACCTCCCATCCCAGAGCACTCATCAGCCTCAGGCAGCCCAGGGACTTGCACCTGGGGCTCCCATATCCCAGATGAGTGCTCTGAGCCTCTGGCTTTTTTGGGACGGGGTGTCTCCCTCTCTCTCTGGCTTTCACCAGAAATTGCACCCTGCACCTGAGAACCGTTCCCGAGAAAAGTACCGTCAACTCTGGTAGGGTTCTGCAAAACTTCAGTTTTGACACAGTGGCTTTTCTCTGATCCCCCACAGTCCCTCCTGCCCCTCCCCAAAGGTCTTCGGAAAATTCCCAACCTCCTCTAAACCTCATGTTGTCTAACTGTGCTAGCCGGCCACCCCAGCCCGACTGCCCTCTCTTCTGAGTCCCCCAGGCAGAGCTCCACCAGCCCCAAGTCCAAGTTTGTTTTGCTATGAGTCCGTACGTAGTAAAGTTAACGTATTAAGGCTTAAAATAAAAGAGCCCAGAAAGGAGGAATGCCGCGCACGGGCTGCTGGAAGCAGAGCTTTCTCTTATCTTGTACAGCACTGGGTGTGGTGCATTCCTGGGGAGCAGCAGGGGAGGCTTGGGAGCATTGGGGGCGTTAGTGCCATATCATGCTACCTTTGAGTCAGTGGTTCAGCTCAGCGTCACGCTTGATCAGAAGAGCTGTATATGTGTCATATATAGGCAGCACTGTACCTGCCCTCTGAATGGCCTTTGCTTTGTCTCACTTCTGCTTGTGCTGCCTTCTATTAATAGCCAGGTCTTCAGGTCTGGTGCCAGCTACACGGTTTTTATTTTTTTAGCTGATTGTCAAGCAAGAAGGTTTGCCGCTGAACAGTGCTGTGGTTGTGACATGTGCTTTCCACTTCACAGTGCTTCGCACAGGTCCTGGTGTGGAGAACAAGTAGCTTCACCAGGCCTCGGCTTTACTATGCCTGAATTAACCCACTGCTGTTCCAGAGCCCTGCTCCGTAGCTGAGAGGAGTAGCAAGCCTTGTGCCCAGCGCCTACCTAGCAAATGGGCTGGTGCTTCAGGGTGGGGGGTTCTGAGGTGTGAATTAGTTAAAATGGATTCACCTCTCTCCACAGCCCAGCTAAAGGGAGCACAAGGAGAGAGTGGGATTGTGTGGATTAACAGACGTGTACACACTGCGAGCGTAACGCCGACAAACCCCGATCATTGGTGGGTGGGATCGAACCTGGGACCTCTGGAGTTTAGTGTATGAGCCTCTACCGCATGAACTGGCTGTTAGCTAAGGCTGTAGAGCAGATTCATTTTCTCTCTCTCTCTAAGGGGTCTCGGTGCCACTCGATGGGACAGAACACCACACTCAGGAGGTTTGTGGGTTACACCAGCACATGGGGCAATACACCACCTCCAGCAGCTTGGCAGCTATTGACTAGTCCCCCATACTGGGGCTAAAGCCACAGGAAACATTCTCATGGAAAACACCTGGTTACAATCTCGGCCTCACACCAGAACAGGAGCCAGAACACAATGGGACAGCTCACCAGCAGTGCCCAGAGCCATCCAGCTCCTGCCCACATACACCCTGGGACAGAGGCTGCTGCCTGGCCAGAGCTCTATATTAAACAAAGCCCTGCCCTTTGTGCTACCTACCTGGGACAGGGGAATGTGGGGTGCAGGAGGCAACTGGGAAATGGGGAAATGGAATGGGGAGGGGAACCCAGGGACAGAGGACCTCAGGGCAGAGGTGGGGGCGGGAGCCTCAGGGCGAGCTTTGCAGAAGAGCTTAGGAGGTTGGGTGCTGGGTCCTTGTGAGGGTATGTGGAAGGAGATGTGAGGGGAGAGGCGGGGAAGGAGTGGGAAGAGAAAGAGGCAGGGCTAGATGCACAGAGGAACGTAGATACCCAGAAGTTCACCAGGCCTCACAGTCTGAGGTTGGGCCTTGGCTCCCTGTGCAGTGAATGGGGAGCAATGGGTGCCTCAGAACGGGATCCACAACACCCAGCACCCTAGGTGACTCCTTGCCTAAGCTAGCTGGGGACAGGGTCAAGCTGAGGGGTGGGGACCAAGCCCCGCCCCTCGCTGAGATAGGCATCTAGGTCCCG